CCTCCTGCTGCTGTTGTGGGGAATAATTGACGCCAATGGTGTCCGGTGTGTCCACTGGCGCTGAGCACAGAATTTGACGAGGTAAGGGGAGGAGGAGTGTGAGTAAGGAAAAAACCACGAGGCGATCAACATGAACTCTGGCACATGTACACACACACACACACACACACACACACACACACACACACACACACACACACACACACACACACACACGGGCCATCCCTCACCTGGTGCGACACGACTGCGGGTGTTGTCGGCAAAATTGTCCTGTTTAAGGCGAAATGCAGACTTTGGTCTGGGCCCGCCCCTCATCTTGGTGGCGACATATTCCTGTCGGTGGTCCTCTAGTTTCGCCTCTTGCTCCTCAAGAATCTTCAACTTCTTCGCGTCCTGTAATCGTTCGTGAATTGTGTTGTGTGCGTGTTTGTTTGTAGCGTTGTGTGTGTGTGTGTGCATGTGATGAATGAAGTGCCGACGATTGTTGTGCCCCCAACACCTGCACACACACACAGACACACACAGACACACACAGACACACAGACACACAGACACACACACACACACACACACACACACACACACACAAACATCCTCTGTCTCCCCCCTCTCCCCTTTGTGTGCATTGGGTGTGACCTGTTTTGCGAGGCAGCAGGAGAGTGGAATCCAGAGGAGAATCGACAGCACCAGCACTGTTGGCACAATGTTTCGCTTCATCCACTCTGGTCACAGGACATGCGAGTGTGTGTGTGTGTGTGTGTGTGTGTTGTGATGCCGAAAGGGGACAAGAACAGCGTCAGTGGAATGCGAATGTCCTCTGAAGGCACACCTCTCAAGGCACGTTGCTGCACATGCATTTGGGCATTTGGGGTGATTACACGGAGACACAGGCACAGGGAAGCAACCACCACCAGCACCACTGTGAATACAACACCGATGCACGCACACCTTTGATGTCGTTGAGGGTGAGGGACGAGAAGAAGGTGAAGATGCGCGACGCAAAGTCGTCTGGTGGCGCTGTGCACGTGCCCTCGTCCGAACACGTCCCACCATGGCACACCTGGTCACACACACACACACACCATGCACACACGAGCATACGAGAGAGAGAGAGAGAGAGAGACATTGACGTGGTGGTCAGTGGTGATTCTGGCGACGCGGCACCAAGACGACGACGACAACGACGCGAACAAAGCAACTCACGGAGCCTGGGGTGAGCTTGAGAGAAGCACGGGAGAGAGCTTCGCCCGCTGGTGTTCGCAGATGACTGTATTGCGCACCAGACAGCACCTGCAGTGGCGAAGAGGGGGGGGGGGGGGGAATGGCGAATACATTGAGCGGCCATGATGCAAGGGGGAACAAGTGCACATACGCATTCGTGCATCGAACCAAACGTGCACAAACAAAGCGGCAACCGATGGTGCGGGGCATATGTGCACACACACACGCTCACGACCATCAGCAGCGTGATGGTCACCTCGTGTGCAGCTGTACATGTGTCTGTGAACGGACGTGATCCCGCCACGTGGTCGGAGGGATTCGACTGCATAGAAAAAAAACAATAAGTACATCAACAACAAGAAACAAGATGCAACGACATCGAAAAAGCGCTGTTGTGAGCGTCGTTGCAGACATGGTGGAACCAAGATTGACACGCAGGAAAAATTGGCAAGCAACTTCATTCACACGTATGAAATCACACAGACACAGACACACACAGACACACACACACACACAGACACACACACACACACACACACGGACACACAGCGCGCACATCATTGTCGCAGATGGCGGTGGTGGCGTTCCACGTGTATCCCTGCGGGCAGTAGAGCGTCGTGACCGTTTCATCATTGACACAGCACAGCGAGCACTCCTCGCCAGAACCAGCAGCGCACTGGCAGGTTGCGGCCCCAAACGCCGCACAGAAGGGCTGGCAGCGGCTGTCTGGATCAGCGGCGGGGACGCACTGACCGTGGTTGACACACTCCGTGCCCGTCGGTTTCTGCACGCGCGCATATATGGTGTTTGAAGTGGTCGTTGGAATGTGTTTGGAGTGGTGGTGGTGTGTGGATGGTGTGTGAATGGTATGTGGATGCTGTAAAGGGTTGTGGAAGCGTGCCGGAATTATGCTGCTGTGATTGCGAACAAAGCGCACAGTTTGAACATGTACACGCGGCCGGTTAATGGGGTGACATGCACAGCCAACGCAGGGCCAATGGTAGTAGTGCTGCTGCTGCTGCTGCTGCTGCTGCTGCTGCTGCTGATGATGATGATGATGATGATGATGATGATGATGATGATGATGATGATGATGATGATGATGGGAGTACCTGTTGGATGTCTGGACATGTGTACGAGTTTGCTTTGCAGTGCGTATCCGCGCGGCACTTGATGTCAAAGGCAAACGACTTGAAACACTGCCATTGTGAACATACACCAGCGAGTACGTGAGTGTGAGTGAGTGTGTGGGTGCGAGAGTGAGTGCGAGTGAGTGTGTGGGAGTGCGACAGTGGGTGCGAAATTGAGTACGTGTGCGGTTGCATGCGTGTGTGTGTGTGTGTGTGTGCACAGGGTGAGCAATCCAAGTGGCCATAGAGCTGCGACGCAATGGCACAGCACCAGAGAACCAATACCAGTCATGTGCACCTCCACCACCACGACGAACGCCCTTCCTCTAACACACACCAGTTTGTTGGGGGCGGCCTGGCAATCCTCACAGCACTCAAAGTTGGTGCCGCTGCAGCTTGCGCCAGACTGATTCGAGGCGATGGCATGATCGCGTGATCGGACACACACGTGCACGAAACAGCGTTATGGCAACAGCGGGTGTGTGTGTGTGTGTGTGTTTGTGCTGTGGAACTTCATGTCATCGCGTGGACATGTGCGCACACAAATATGCACAAACGAACAAACAAACAAGCAAGCGAACAAACGAACAAGACTACAAGGGCAGTGCTGGCAAGGGTGACATTTGATCGTACGCGGAGTTTGCAGGTTGAAGTGCAGCAGGACCCGCCGCTGTATCCCTCGTCGCACTCCTCGTCGTCGCTCGTCCCTGACAGTGGCGGTGGCGGCGATGGTGGTGGTGATGTCGCGATTTGGTGAGCAAAGTGCGTGGAGCAGGTTTGCTGGTGATGATAGAGTGATGTCCTTGCAAGGAAGCAAAGTGCAAAGCATGACAAAGCACACAGACACAGAGATACAGAGATACAGACACAGACACACACAGACACACACACACAGACACAGAGGTAGACACACACACATGCACACACACACACGCACACACACACCTTCTTGGTCGTCGGCTCCTGCTGGCTCGAGGATTCCATTTCCGCAGATGTTGGCCGGCGTTGGGGCGAAGCACGTGCCCTGATCATGACAGCATTGTGCGTGCAAGAACACATGTATGGCACGGGGAGGCGAGTCACTTGACAACGTGGGGCACAACAACCCGTCGCTCCCTCCTTCACACATGTGTCCATGTCAGGGTTGAATGACACACACACACACACACACACACACACACTCACACACACACACTCATGCAAGCAGGGCGTGTGTGATACCCGGACTGCAATGATGGCCTCAATGCTGGAAGTGGAGCAGGGCGAGAAGCGTGCGTTGTTGGACGCGGTGCCATCAACAGAGTTGGCATTCATCACAAAGTGGTTCGCTGGCTCGGCAGGTTGATTGGTGTGTGGTCGGATGCGATGCGTTGGGTCAAGTCAGCATTGCGTAACGTGTTGGCTTGAAGACACACACATCACAAAGACACGCACGCGCACACAAACGGACGTACAAAACGCACACACACATACACACACATACACACATACACACACACACACACACACAAAACGCGTACGCGTATCAGGACTATGACTGTACCTTCTGGCGTGCATTGCGCTGTGGCGGGATCGTGTGGACTGCCAAAGTTGTGTCCAATCTCGTGCTGCACCGTCAGCTCCCACGCTGTGCACAGCAGAGGCCGTTCCAGTGGTGGCGTGTGCGTGTGAGTTGAGCGGACGCACATGACCGCATCACACCCCCACCCCACCTCCACTCCAGCCACCAAACACCAAACACCAAGCACCACCAAGCACCAAGCATTAGCCACCAAGCACCAAGCATCAGCCACCGCTGCGCCCCATCGCCACTCCGTGTGCCTACCGAGCTTCATCAGCCCCGTCCCCCAGTTGATGCCCGTGGTGAGGCCTGCGTTGAGGTACGACATCTTCGTCTGTCCGAATCCGTCGCAGATGCCTCCGTTGCGCTCGTTCCCAACCCACGCCAGCCCTTGCACCCCGTCAGCAAAGTCTGCAGCACGCCCGAGGTGGTGATGTGTCACGTACGCGTTGGTTGTGTGCTCAACAGTGGGTGCCACACATGCACGGTGATGAAGCAAATCAGGTCGCACACACACACACACACACCGTGCCGATACATGGGAGCAATGTGGACTGCACCTTGGTAGGTGAAGAGGTGAACCAGGCAGACGGACGACCAGTCCAGCGGCGCGTTCGGGCGCTCTGAGAGTTTCTGCAGCAGAGCCGTCACGTCCCATGGTGTGGACCTTGGGGAACCGTACACAGTTGCAAACGAACACACGCAACGTGGTTGCACGAAGATGACGTGAGGTTGACTGCCTCACCAACTCTCAGCTTCACACACACATTCACACATCCACACACGCACGCACACACACACACACATACACACACATTCACACATTCACACACACACACAAGAGAGAGAGAGAGAGATAGAGTGCATACTTGTAGTATGGGTCGGAGGCGGCGTCCTCGTACACGACAATGTCCGATACAGCGAGCCCAATGTCTTCAAACTGGCCAAACGTGGTCATGCGGAAGCTGTGGCACACACACACACACACACACACACACACACACACACACACACACACACACACACACACACACACGCACGCACGCACGCACGCATATACACATGCACGTGAGCATTGGCCTCAAGCAGTGGGCACATACGCGGGCAGGTGCATACGAACGCAACTGCGCTTTTGAGCACGACAAACAACCAACCAAACAAACAAACACACACACAAACACACACATGTCCCCCCCCCACACACAAAAGACTCAGAGACACATGCGCACGCAAGTGCTGTTGTACTTTCTGTCGACGTATGTGATGAATTCGACCATGGTGTTGACGGCTGCACCCGTGTTGCTGCCAAGATGCTCAAAGAAGCGGTAGTCGCCAACAAGCGTCAGCTTGCACGTGTTGTCCTCAGAACTGCGCCGGACACGTGCGGTCTGGCTCCTGCCCAGTATTGGGGGGGGGTGGAGATGGATGGCAGGTGGGGTGGGATTCGCACGTGAGAGGGGGGTTGGGAACACACAAGTACTCATAGCGTATATGCACACACAATCTCACTCACTCACTCACTCACTCACTCACACACTCACTCACTCACTCACTCACACCCACGCACACAACACACGCACACAAAACACGCACACGGTCTCTCTCTCTCTCTCTCTTGTGCCGCGGAAGCGCTTACGATGCATGGGCGTCATGTTCATGTCCTTCTGGTTCTGCCGCTGCAGCCAGTTCGTCGGCTGCACGGCGAAGGCGTTCGCTGCCACACGCAGAGAACGCCCTGCTGTTGTTCGAGAAGATGTTGTGCGGCCAGCGCATGCTGCCCATGTGGTACACGACCAGATACCGTGATGCAATGTCGGCGAATATGGCCTCGTTCGCGCCAAACAGCGCCTGCTCCACGGTGGGGAGCTCCGTCCAGTGCAACATGGCGTGCACGGAATCCAGCGTGTATCTGGTGTCGTTGCGCGCGAAACTGCCACTCAGGACAATGCCATCCTCGATCCGAAACCGGGCGCCCTGCCCGTCTGCGATGTGTGTGTGTGTGTGTGTGTGTGTGTGCATGTTCGCGATCGACTCATGAGTGGGGCGATGTTGGCGCTGGTTCTCGCGCAGATACAACCGTACACACACGCGCACACACACACATGCACACACACACACACACATCCACATGTACACATGCACCCACATATCCACACACACACACACACACATACCCACCCACACCTACACACACATACACAGGCACTCAGCATTGCTGACCTGTCCAAAACGAGGTGTGGATGCTGTGGGCAACTTCGCGCACACCCGCTTGGCTCACGGACAAGACGCGAGTGCCATGGTTGAAGAGGGCCGTGTTAGGGGATAGCGCTACCGTCATGGGCACACCCTGGTTGCAAGCAGAGCAGAGGAAATGCAAACATGAGCACGATCGGCGGCATGGATGTGCATGTGTGTGTGTATGGAATGCTTCGTTCATGATCATGGCGTAAAGATGGGAGCACGAGGTATGTCACAGACATACAGACAGACGATGTAGTGAAGTCACCATGCCCGCCTCCGCAACCCCTCTCCATTATCCACTCTCGCTCGACCAGGGGATGCGCCCACCCACCGCAGGAGCGTACCTGCTTGACTTCGAACGTGAGTGTGTGCGTGGGTGTCATCCCTGGTTGCGCTGGCGTGGCTGAAGACACGACGACGTCAGCGCGCGAGAGGAGATGGAAGTCATCCAAGTGCCTGGACACCACCTGCCAAATGGCTTGTCTCTCATTGCCTGCAGTCTGTTCAAAGTCCATCGCCGCCTGCGTTCCGATCCTACCCTCATCTCCATGCTGAAGATCCTGCGGTGCTGCTTCTGAGACGCACGCGCACAACAACGCAGTGACTGCTGCTGCAACGACGGCGCTCACACACACACGTCGCCAACCCATCACTACAGTGCAGCAGCTGGGACGATGGCGCCTGCTGTGTTGCCTGCTTAGCGCTGCTGTCCGATCAACACCAGGCTCAAAGTCGTGTTGCGGATGATGGTCGTCGTTGGGGAGGAGCAAGTCGCGTTGTTCTGTGCGTTTGTGTGTGTGTGTGTGCGCGTTTGTGTGTGTGTGTGCGTTTTCTCTTCTTTTTTCTTTCTCTTCTTCCTTTTCCGCTGCTGCTGCTGTTTGGAGCACGCCGACTGCACTGCACCACGCACACACCATGGCGAGCACGGCAAGAGGGGTGCGTGGGTGCCGCAGGGCACACAAGCAAAGCTGGCTCACCCACTGCCTCGCTTCTTTTGCTCACTCATTGTCTCGCTTCTTGTGCTCGTTTGATGCTTGAAGATGCCAAAAGTTCAAACTGCGCCAGCAATGGCAACTTGCATACGCTCACGTGCTCACACACACACACACAACACACACACACACACACACACACATACATACATACACACCGTGCATGTGTGTGCGTCAATCTCCTTTGCATGGGTGAACAGATGTGGACAGCTATCAGGTCCATGTCAACCAAGCGGCTGCGCAAGCCCAACAGGAATCCACTCATGAAGATTGTGCTCCTGGAAAACATTCCAAGTCAGTTGCACTGCTTACATGGGCAACCATCACACCTGTAGCTTTACTCTTCATCTCTCATACCTCACGCACACGCACACATCCACACGCACTTATGCCTCTGCACACGTGTACACGCGACCCACAATCACATGGACTCGCGCGCGCGCACACACACACACGCACAATCAACACAATCAACCTTGTTATGCTGTGAATAGGCTTGGGGGAGAAGGGAGCCGTCACAGAAGTGAAGCGCGGATACGGCCGTAACTTTCTCATTCCACAAGGAAAGGCACTCTACTTGAACAGGGACACACGAGCCTTTGTCAACCCAGTAAGCCGGCACCCCACATCCTGCCGTCGACTGCACATGTTGTTGCGCCTTCGCTTCACTTCCCTGCCTGCGCACTTCATGCAGTCACGCGGCAAGTGTTGCTCGAACCACTGGCACATACATTGCCGCCACTCACACTGTGTCACGTCTCTCACCCACCATCGCCCCACAACAGGAAGCCAAGTCTGCCGCAGAGATGCAGGCACTGGTGCCTGATGAGGTTGCCAAAATGGCAAAGGTGAAGCTACCACAGCGCTGTGTGTGATTGTGTATGCGTGTGTGCGTGCACGAGGGCAAGCTGTTGGTTCACGCGCGTCTGTGGTTGTGCGGGTGTGCATTTGCTGGTTCTCGGTGTAACAAAAACCTGTTCATGTGCAGCGAACAGCAGAACGCAACTCTCATGCGCGCGCAACATACTTCCTGCCCCTTGCACCACCACTCCCCAACCCTCTCGCCACTCACTGCCCCACCACGCTCGTGTGCGCTGCGTGACGACAGATTGAGCGGCACATCAACAAGAAGTTGGTCGAGCTGCACCGCAACAAGTCCAAAACATTCGAAGTCACGCCTGACGCCATCAGTGTTGCTTGCAAACACCAGGTACAAACTACGTGTGTCTGTGTGCGTGCGTGGTGGTATGCGTCTGCGAATGTATGGGAACCGAAGAGTAAGGTGTAGGGTTGAGCCAAATCTCATCCACACTGATACCCGTCATGTGAAGAAGGGGGACGCTCACAGGGCTGTTCAGGATGGCTGCCTCAGCTCAGTCACCCGCTCATGCAATCACACAACTCACAACGCACGCACACACACACACACACACACACACACACACACACACATGCTGTTTGCAGTTGTGGCTTGAGGTTCCCAAGGAACGGATCGAAATTGTCAACCCAATCACGAAGCATGGCCTCCACTATGCCAACATCCACCTTGCTCCTGACCGCGTCGCTTCCTTGCAAATTGATGTCATGCCTGTTTGATCCAGTGATGTGCTGCCCTTGATGTGATGGTCACCAATGCACACACGCAGAGGACACCACACCACACCACACCACACCACAACACACACACACACACACAGACACACACACACACACACGCACACACACACACACACACACACACACACACACACACACACACCACACCCCCCACACACACACACACACGCCAGCATTGTGGAGTATTTTCGGAAGATTTACATAAGAATAGACATCAACCGCCGCTGCTTTCGCGTCCTGTTTGTTTGTTGTGTGTTGTGGCAAAGCACCCCCACCCAGCCCAACGTGCAAGCAACAACGCCACACCAGCTCCTGACACGCCAGCGTCGTGCCCCTTGCTTCTTCCTCACACGACGGGCCCAAGTTATCTTGAGGGCTTCTTGGTATCATTGTTGACGAGGCAGCGGGTGCCCATTGTTGCTTGTATCTTGTTGGTGCCGGTGACGCGGCTTGTGGGGAATCGCCTCAACCTCGGTTGACAAGGCCAAGCGGACAGCGCAGCAACCGAAGCACCTCAACAGCGAGCAGCACCAGCAACTGCGATAGCAAAGACAGAATGGCGGGCCTTCGATACTTAAGCACTGCGGACGAAGCACTGGCACATGACTATTATTGGGTGGACGAGTTTCGGAATGAAATTGTGCCAGTGAGCGTGTACCGCAACCTCGATTTTCGGGGCCTAGCACAGCTGCACGTCAGCGACGATTGGAGGCGCGTACCAAAGGCGTATACAGCCCTGAAACAAGTAAGACCAGACACAACGCCTGTGGGGCCGCAGCAGACCAAGTTCAGAGAAGTTGATACTCATGAGGACAGCCCGTGGAAGCACGACACACATGCAACCATCACCGATTTCAGCAGGTGGCTCGACACAACTGGAACGGAGAGGCATGTGGACCAACATCGATTCCGGGATATCTTTGGGGAAGACGGGGATGACTGGAAGCGTGTGAATGCGGGCCAGAGCGCGATGGCTGGGCTCGGAGTTGACACGACGCGTGCTGGGCAGAGTGTACACGAGCACGACCACCGCGGGCTTGAGCACATGGATGATGACTGGAAGCGTGTGAATGCGGGCCAGAGCGCGATGGCTGGGCTCGGGGTTGACACGACGCGTGCTGGGCAGAGTGTACACGAGCACGACCACCGCGGGCTTGAGCACATGGATGATGACTGGAAGCGTGTGAATGCGGGCCAGAGCGCGATGGCTGGGCTCGGGGTTGACACGACGCGTGCTGGGCAGAGTGTACACGAGCACGACCACGGCGGGCTTGAGCACATGGATGATGACTGGAAGCGTGTGAATGCGGGCCAGAGCGCGATGGCTGGGCTCGGGGTTGACACGACGCGTGCTGGGCAGAGTGTACACGAGCACGACCACCGCGGGCTTGAGCACATGGATGATGACTGGAAGCGTGTGAATGCGGGCCAGAGCGCGATGGCTGGGCTCGGGGTTGACACGACGCGTGCTGGGCAGAGTGTACACGACCACG